AATAATAATAATAATAATAATAATAATAATAATAATAATAATAATAATAATAACAACAACAACAATAATAATAATAATAATAATAAGATTCTCATGATTTTGAGATTCCTGAGAATTTGAATAACACCATGTTGGGTGTGGTATTCAAATTACCTTAAAATGAGGGAAAGTGAATCCCATGGTAATTATTTTCCTGAGAATCTAAAAATTATAATTCTTGTACCAAATATGGTAATATTGCAGATTCTTATTCCCATCGTTAAGATTATTACATACCAAACGCTCCCTAAGTTTATTACTGACGTATATATAGACATGGCTATTACTTTTTGAGTTTTAGTAGCATGTAGTATTGAGACATTTATATATATGTATACTTATTCCTTATCTACTTCATTGTTGTGTGTGTATATATATATATATTAGTATTTTTATTTATCGAATGATGTCTTCATTTGATTTTCATAAGTGGCAATATTAATTATAGTAGATTTTTATATGTTTAGTTTTATATCATTTTCTCAAACAATTTGCAACGAATAGGTGGATTGGATTCTTTGTAGTTTTTGATTAATATGCCTTGAGTATGTTCTGCTTTTTCCCTATATTTTTTTTTTAAAAAAAAATTGGCTTGAGTGTGTTCTGCTTTTTTCCTCTGTTTTTTTATAAAAATTTTTTTGACTTGGCCTAATAATCTCCTCCGGTGGTTGCTGTGGTTCAGTTTAGTTTACTTGGTGGTCAATTTTCTAAGCTCCCTAACTTTCGTCTTTGTTTGCTTGGTTGGTCTTTCATCCTTAAAGCATATTTTAGAGTATTGCGGGTATTATCTCTAACTCTTTATCATTATCTTTTAAATTTTTTTTGATTTGTTATGGTGCCATTGCTTCATTTTATTTGTTATAGCGTTCTTTAGGATCTATTATTATCATGATTGTTTCTGTTATGTTCTATCACTATTTACTAATGGTTTCAATTGTTTCGTAATGACATTTGTTCATATTTGTGTCTTTACTTAAGATATTTCATCTTTATCTCATTTTGATACGATGTCATAATAAATAAAGTTGTTTTATGGCTGCAAAGTATTGTAAAATTCGTTTAAAATTTCTGTCAAGAACTTTTTTCCTTTGGATTGAGGCACTCTCCACTTCTTATTAAAACTACTTAAATAATAATTTGTTGGCCCTTTTTTTTATTGAGTCTGTCCTAATTTTAAAAAAATAAAAATTCCATCTTTTCTTTACTTCAATGCATGTTTTATATATCCCTGTTTGTTTAGTTGCTTGACAATATTTTTTTAACAATTTTTAAAATTCTGTCTCAATTTTTGTTTATTATATCTTATGTTTAATTCATTCTGTTTCATACCAGTGATGATTATAATTGTTTTTCACCTGTTTGATGATGTATAATTGTTTTCAAAATTATTGTGCTCATATTTTGCTTACTTGGATTGTGATATTGTCTATGATTCTTCATTAGGATGATTCGGATATATTATTTTAGTTCTCCCTTTCATCTTATTTTAATGTTATTATTGTTTTTGTTGCTTTTCTTGACATTTGTTTTGATATGTCGTTGTTATATTAATTTGTAGCTATTTAATTCCTTCTCTAATTCATTTGGATATGGTTTGTGCTTCTCAATTCTGTCGTAATATATAGTTTTGAATGAAGCTATATCCATTTTTTTGTTACATATTTACAAATTAACATTAATTATTAATAAATATTATACTTGAATATTTATAATACACATCCTAATCTTTTATTATGATTTTAACTCCGAATCAAGACCACCAAAGCAATCTAAAAAAAGAACAAGAACCAATAATATCATTATTTCTAAATACTTAAATTAACACTTGATATAACTAAAATTATTTATATATTCTAAAAATTAGCACTAATCTTTTTTTTAAAATTATTTTGCAATTATGAAGAAGCACAGAAAAAAGGAAAACAAACAATATAGAATCCTACAAAAAAAGCCTTTGTTAAATATATAATATACATATATCTACATAAATGTGTATATATATACACTCATACTGTAGTTCTCTCAACATTTTACATATATATGTATAAAAACTAAGGCCTCGTTCGTTTCGCTGATTCGAGTTTAGAATTCGAGTTGAGATGTGATAAAAAGCTCTCACAAACAGTCACATCTAACTATATAATATACATATATCTACATAAATGTGTATATATATACACTCATACTGTAGTTCTCTCAACATTTGGCATATATATGTATATAAACTAATACTGCACCAAATAAACTCCAGACTTCCAATACAATATATTATAAATCTTCTCCGCAGCAACGCGCGAGCACAAAACCAGTTATTATCTATTATAGTGCATTATATTCAACTATCTGATGTATTAATTATAATATATTTATTGTATATAATATAATAATATTATTAATATAATTATAATATTATAATTATATTAATAATATTATTATATTATATATAATAATTGAATTGCTTTCTTCAAAGAGAAAAATGAAAAAAAAGTTTTTTCTATTATTCCTTTTCCTAAATTACAATTTGGTTCCTTCCACCAGCTTCTCCCCCAAGGCAAACTTTGTTCTGGTAACACGCACAGCATCAGAATTCAGAGCAATCTTGTGTGTGCGATCGAAAGTCACCACCATAATTGTCGACGCATTCTCGTTTCTCCGTCGTTTAATTCCATGACCCAAAACTTGTTCCATTTCACAGTCCCATAGCTTTTTTGTAGCTCGCAATCCGTCGATTCTGTGTCTTCAAGAAGAAGAAGAAGAAGAAGAAGAAGTAGCACAGAGCTATGATTCTACCGGTGGTGAAATTAGGAACCCTCGCCCTCAAAACTATATGTAAACCCATTGCCAATCGGCTAAAGAAGGAGGCGGGCTTGCACCCCAAGTTCAGACAGTTGATCGTTAGCATTGCCCAGGTCCTCTCTGTGTTTTTTTTTTTTTTTTTTTTTTGGCTCTCTTCTATTTTGAGTTTTCATTAACGGGTTTATTGTTCATTTCCACATATGGGCTTTGCTTGAATTTGATTTTTTTTTTCCTCTTTGGTGGCGTTCTTTTGGTGATTCTGATTTTGTACTTTTGTCATACCTTTGGCTTTGGTGGTTTGCAGTTGTTAATCCAATAATCTTATTTTAATATGTGTTTGTTGAGTAATGTTGGCCTGCTTTTCTCTTTAATTTTCTCTGAGTTCTTTTCCCTTTTGTTGAGTAAATTAAACTTTCGCAAAGTTTCTTCCTTTCCAATTTTATAGGTAGCAACAATTTGTTACTGTTTTGATTCTTGTTGAATGCCTGCTTTATTATTGAAGCTTATCTCTCATTGTTCTACAGTATTTGAACTTTTGCACTTTGTGTTCTTGTGTGTGTCAATTAGTATATGATATTTTACTAATGAAAGGCTACTTAAACATAATGTGCTTTTCTATGTTTTACTATACCAAACCTTGCCCACATTGTTACTGATTAAATGCCCTGATCCTTTTACTACCGAGGTGATCAAATCATAGAAGATAGGAAAACAAGTACACACAAAATTTATAGTGTTTCACCATGTCTGTCCCGGGCGATAGTTAGGATTCAGTTTCACACTCCTAATGCGCACCTCCAATCTTAAACTATAAGCAAAATGATTAAATGGAATTTTGGTTATGGAATCAGGCAAACCATCAGTTTCAAACGCAAATGCAACGACGGATTTATGGTCATGCCACCAATGTTAAGATACGCCCCCTAAATGAGGAGAAAGCTGTGCAGGCTGCTGCTGATCTTCTTGGCGAACTCTTTGTATTCACGGTACTGTGAATCTATGCTTTGTGATTGGTAGCAAAAATGTTGTTTGAAAGTGACGTGCTTAAATACTATCCATTCTTTTATATATAGTATGTGCATCAACGTGTAAGGTATCCAAGTTAGGGTGATTGGTACTAACGAAGGCCTCATACATTGCATAGACTCATGGATTTTCATCCTCTTAAATTAACCTTGTATTTCATCTGCATCAGCCTATTATTCTCTTCAGGTTGCCGGAGCTGCCGTTATTTTTGAGGTGCAAAGAAGCTCAAGATCAGAAGCAAGAAAGGAAGAGCTGCGAATACAGGAATTACAGGTATTCGTTGATATTGTGATGAAAACAAAAAATACCTTTTCCTTTTTCTTGCTTCTCCCCTGTTTAACTGTGACTGAACTTGGGAATATAGTTCTATTTGAGGGAACATGGTGAGTGGTTCTAGACAGCATCATTTAGAATTAGTCCCTTTCATACCATGGTTCTTGAATTGCAGTTAGCCTTTCCATTTAACTTGATTGCTACCAAGTGCCTGGATTCATTTAATTTACTTGTTGAACTAGTTTGTCTATCAATAAAAGCTCTCGGTTCCCGGTTCTCCCGTAGCTATATCCTTTGATGGTTTGTTTAAATATAATAATACATTTTGAACAGAATACACCGCATCATCACACTCTCATACCTTACACGCATGTCTTTATATGTAGAAGCTACTGAAACTTTGTATGAGATACTATCGATCATTTATTCAGTCCAGGACTAGGAAAAATTCTCAGTGCAGGCAACATTATTCTTCAATGGCAGAATATCATCGTCATCTTCTTGAGTCTCTTTATGTGCACTTCAATAGTGACAAAATTACGCATCATTTTGTTTAAATACTTGGCCATTGATTTTGGTATTACCAGGTCCTTAATCTTCAAAATGCAGAGTTACGATTGGATGTAGTGATATAATGACAAACATTATGAGCAGTTGCTGTACTATGGATTATCATTTTCAGATTCTAGTAACACCTGTCTTCATGTGTTTCTTGACTGTTTTAGGCGATGAAGCAAAGAGATGAAGATTTAGCCAGAGAAATTGAGCATCTCAAACAGAAAATTGAAGATGTGGAACACCTTGCAAAAGGACGAGGACTTTCTGGTCTTCTTCATTTCAGGAATGCTCATACAACTGAAGATGGAAAAGAAAAACACTCTTGATCACAGCAAAAATCAAATGTGGCCCACGTTATTAGCTGAAGAGCTAACATTTCTCTGTCACTTTAATCAACGGTATTTGCCTAGTTAGGAAAATTTTCTCCGTATTTTAACATCTTGATTTTGATTTTTAAAGGCCCGATTTGCCACTTTAATGGCCGACCCGGTTCCATTGCTAGAAACGTGATTTTGAGCTATTTGAATTAAATGGTTATTCTTCCTTGTGTGCAATAAAGGCTTCGCTTGAGCAAATGTTAGAATGACAAGCTACGTGTCCCTTGGTGGCTTAACTGAGTTTTAAAAGTACGGACATGTCGTTTTCATAAGTTCTGAAAATACTAACAGTGTGCCCTTTAAACGACAAAGGTTGTGTTTTTATTTCTAAACGACGAAATTTATGTTCACAACGACGTGTCGCCTGCCTGTTTTAGAAACTTTTTAACCAGAATGTGTTTATTTTTTAACAAGAAACGACAGCTAAGCTTTGTGTATTTTTTATTGTGCCGAATAAACTCGAGTAGGCTTTCTTGAGGTAAGAGAAGGGAGGGAGTATGTTTTTAGAAATGAAAGACATGTCCTTAATTCGACCAAATACCACAATCCTTTATGAAACTTATAAAATAATCCAATATATCAAAAAAAAAAAAAAAATCAAATTTACAATTTACAGTCATCAGGTGGTGTAGATGCCCCACGAGTGCGACAATGCAATCAAATGGATGGCGGACCAGATCTATAAAACGATGGCAGCATTAGATCTCCTCGGCGGCCTAGCCTAGAAGATGATAGCGGATCAGATCTACGAGCGGTGTCGAATCTCCATGGTTTCCTCGCGCCGACGGTCGAGTTGATCTGAAACACGAGCTTCATTGAACTCCGGCTAGATATTTTGAGCGAGTGAGAGAGAGAGAAAGAAAATTTGTATATGAACATTATATGGCAGATTTTTATTGAGAAAAAAAATTATTTCGTAGACTACAAAAATAACTTAACAGAATATAAAAAATAATTTACATGATATGGAAAATAATACAAGTTATGAAAAATAATACAAGTTATGAAAAATAACTTACAGAATATTAAAAAAAAAAACTTACCAGACTATTTTTTCAGAGGCATAAGAATTGATGACATAAATAAAAGTCTTTTTTATTGCATTTTTTGAACATTTCCAAGAAAAAAAAAAGAGCAAGAATTTTTTTTAAGTAATAAAAAAGACAACTATTCCTTATTAACTACACAACTCATCCTTCGGAAAAAAAAAGAGACCAGAATCATTTTTCAAAGGAAGCGACACAAAACACAGAATACGACGACACATGTTTCGCGCTTTCTCGTTCTTTTTCTTCTTTTTCCAACCCGTAGAATAGTCAAAATACCACCTACAATATTTTTACTTAAAAGGAAAAAGGAAATTTTTTAATTCTGTTTTCATAAGACTTTCCCTTTCTCAAATTCTCTTCACCCCTGCAGCCAGCAATTTGGGCTTTCATCTCTACGCGGACCTTAACCGCTCGCTGCTCCTTACTACGGTAATGGCCATTTCATATTCTCCTTTTAATTATTGTTTGCTTTTCCTTTTGTGGGAAACGATATTAAACCATGTTTTTGTTAAAAATTATACCTTTTTGGCTATCGAAATACTCGATTGCCTTTTTATTTCTTTGCCATTTTTTCTTAAACCCTATGGAATGGTGAATTTTGATTTTGATTGCATTTTTCTGTCTTTTTTTTTTTTTTGCCGCGTTTGATGATTAAATTGAGTCTTTAATTTTCTTGTAATGTGTGTTTGATGGATTTAAGATCTGGGCATTGAGCGAATTGGTTATGTTGTGTTATGGATCGTAGAGGTTTTGAGGCGACGGGATCAATGCAGAAGGATTCAAAGGGCAAGTGTGAGACTGCGTCTCACCATAATCTCAAGGAGAAGACGAAGAACCGCGTCGATGACCTTCAGAGAATGTTCTCGAATCTTGAATCGGCTCGGAAGGAGAGGCGAACCGGCGACGTTGCGGTTTTCGAGGAACAGGTCAATCAGATGCTACGGGAGTGGAAAGTTGAGCTCAGTGAGCCATCCCCAGCATCTTCTTTGCTTGTATGTATTTCATATAATTTGACACTTCAAATATTATCATGTCACTGTCTTTTTCGGTTTGTTTCTATGTAACAATGTCCGCGATAGATTAATTCTTTGTTGTCACGCTTTTATAATGTCATGTTATAGGACTTGAGTATTTGCCCCGTCTTTTATGTTCTATTTTAGTTTTGTGATATTCATTCCGTGTTTAGAATTTTGTTTCGGTGATGAGTAGGGTGGTAGTTTTGGGTCGTTCTCCGAGGAGTTGGCCCGTCTTCTGCAAGATGATGCAACCAGTCCATTAGGAGACCTGACGCTTCCTAAGCCTAAACCTGATCCTGATCTTGAAGATTTTGCCTTTGCACAGGTAAAATGTCTCAACTCCTAGGCGATATTTAGTATTTCTCCGTTGACGGAATTCTACAATTGGGCAAAATACTCTAGCGGTAGTGGATCTTTCTGAATTGCCCAAGTCGTATTTCCATATTGATTTAGTGTAATGTGTTATGATTATAAATCCTAATGTAGTATTGCATTCAGAAACACACTGTTAGTAGGTATTCTCTACCACAAAACTCCCTTTCTCTTTTCTCCTTTTCCACTTTAGATGTTAGTGATAGCGGCTAATCTCAATGTCCTGTCTTTATTCTTAGGAACCCCAAGACCAGAGTTTTCAAGGATTCTATGAACCCAAAGGAACTTCTTTAGACTTTCATGACGTAATGGCAAATGACTCCCATTTGTCTACTCAACTGGAGCATCATCAGTTTGATTTACATCAAGACTTCAATGAAGGGCATTTTGTTGGAAACATTAGCAATGATCAATATGGGCAGGATGCTTTGACCGAGGTTCTTCCAGATATTTCCCCTCCGCCGGCTGCTTTCTTGGGGCCAAAGTGTGCTCTTTGGGACTGTTCTAGACCTGCACAGGGATCCAAATGGTGCCAGGACTATTGCAGTAGCTGTCATGCTGTTTTAGCCTTGAATGAAGGTCTTCCGGGCATAACCCCAGTTCTACGACCTAGTGGCCTTGATGTGAAGGACGGTCCATTGTTTTCTGCTCTTAATTTAAAGACCAACGGAAAGGAGGTGGGCATCCCTAATTGTGAGGGAGCTGCTTTTACAAAATGTCCATGGAATGCTCCTGGTAAGCCTATGCAGTAATGTCTTTCCATATCAGTCTCCTCCGTTTGCTTTGTTCTGTGAGCTTGCTAAATTGCTAATTACGCATTCATTTTACAGCACTCTCGCATCCAATTAAACTATGTTGCTAAATGTTGTGATTTAAGTCGCATGTTTTTTTCTCTTTGTTACCGCTTGGACTAAGTTTGATGTCATATGCCCCGCTAGTGTTGTACATGTTTTGTGGTGAGAAAGTATGAATGATGCCCTTATTTTATTTATTTATTTATTTATTTTGACTAATTGCTGTCATTTAATGTTGCAGATCTGTTTGATCTTTCTCTTCTAGAGGGTGAAAAAATTAGAGAGTGGCTATTTTTTGATAAGCCTAGAAGGGCATTTGAGAGTGGAAATAGGAAACAGAGGTCATTGCCAGATTACAATGGACGTGGCTGGCATGAATCAAGAAAGCAGATCATGAAGGAATTTGGGGGGCAGAAGAGGTCATATTACATGGACCCACAACCTTCAACACTTCATGAATGGCATCTATATGAATATGATATCACCAACTATAGTACTTGTGCCTTATATAGATTGGAGCTCAAACTTGTTGATGAAAGGAAAAGTCCGAAGGTCAAAGGTGACGGGAAGAAAAGCCTCAAAGGAAACGTGTCGAATGATTCGCTTGCTGACCTGCAGAAGAAGATGGGAAGGCTCACTGCTGAGGCTCCTGGAGATGATTCAAACACTTATAGGGGCAGTGCAGACCGCTAATTAGAGCGCCAATGCCTGAAATATCAGCTCTGCACATACGATCACAAGATGTCCAATATTCTTGACTAGGGTGCTCCTGAACTAGGAACTTACCCTCATGGAAATTCAAGGTACATGTGTTCTCCTTATTGACACGAGTCGGTCTCAAATCAATTTATCTCACGATAAACGGTTCTATTTTCAAGCAATTCAGGCTCAGCTATTAAGCTGTTTCGTTTAAAGAAGGGGATCAGAATTAGAAGAGGCATGGAAATTCATGTAATGGTTCTATTGTTTGCTTTGTTTCCGTAGTGTACATAGGACTTGAAATCCTAAATCAGCGTTAGATAATCCAGACACATTCAAAAGAGTCTCCAGATAAGATTAGAAAATGATTGTAATAGTAAATTGATTCTTATGGAATTGATGCTTTTTTCAGCTTTGTCCTGAGCCGTGGTTGTAACACCTAGTTAAATTAATGAAATAAATAAATTTAATCTGGTTGTTAGTGTTAATTAATTTAAAATTAGCGTTTAAGTTTCAGTTATAATTATTTCATTATAAAAGTTTACACGATTTAAAAATTATTTTTAAAAATTATAGTGTGTCCCTTCAACTTTTGATTTATTACACTTTGGTCCCAAGTATTAGAGAGCGATACAAGTAAGCCCTTGTCGGTCTTACTTGCTCCCGATTTTTAATTAAAATCTCGTATTTCACCTCTTAATTAGCATACAAGAATTAAAAAACTCTATTCCCTTCGTCTATAATATTAACACCATGGATAACGTGACACTAATTAATTATAAGAGGTTAAACACAGAAAGAAAGGTCGATAAAAAAAAAAAAAGCTTAGGTTGGTATTTGACTATTTGTAGTACTTTTTGTGGATTTATAATATATATTATTAATTATTGGAGATGGATAAATGATAAATTTTTCAAAAAAAAAATAGTTTTGGAACTCTCCTCCCCCCTCCCCGCTCATCAAAATAATGCAGGAATCTCTCGCGAACCTCATTATATATAAAACAAAATTTACAGAAGTAATGGAAGTTTCTTACTAAAATCATCAAATCTCTCGCGAACCACATTACATAGTAAACAAACATTACAGAAGTAATTGAAGTTGCTTACTAACATCGTCATATCTCTCGCGAACCACATTACAAAGTAAACAAACTTTACAGAAGTAATTGAAGTTTCTTACTAAAATCATCAAATGTAAGAAGACTCGAGATCCTTATGGAAAGGAAGCTCTCGCAACTTGACACGGTTGGCTCTGTTCTCTCTCCCAACCTCGGCAGTATTATTGTAGTTTTCTTCTTCCATCACTGTTTTAATCGCTTTGCAAACACTCTCCCTTGTGAAGAACCCATCTTCCTCATCTCTCTCCACTTCAACCCCGGCCTTCAATATTTTACCAATGAGCCTCGCTTGAAAAAATTGATCACCTTCATGAGGTATCATAACCAGCTAGAGACCAAAAATTGCGTTCTTCAATTTCTACAATAGTCTATTCATATAATAGTAGTTAGACTCTCAGAATAAGTCTAATATTTATCTTTAAGATAAAACTTGATAATTATCTATCACTTCTAATTTGATTTTTGAAACAAAATCTCTCTCTCTCCTTTATCCTCTTGGCCGGCCACCACAGGGAGATTCCTCTGTGGTAGGTGCATACAACAGCTAAGGAATAGGGTAAAATTCTGCATTTATCTTGCAGTACAATTTTGATTCAAATTCAAATTTAAGTCAGACTTAAATTAATTTAAATTTCAAATTGGACAACTTATTAAATAAGTCATATAGATAACTTGAAGAACAAGCAACTAAATCTCATAGGGATTCACACTGTGCTGGGCGTGTACACCATGTGGACACCTCCACATGTGTATTCTAAAATTCAAATTTAAATAATCATATTATTCAATTAATTCCTAATTAATTATTCTTGCGCTATTTATTTCAGATTTCTATAATTCTAAAATTTTCATTTTGTCCTTAGTGTCTTGTAGACGTGGGGACTCATGAACTTATAATTATGAGCTCCAATAAAATTAATGGTTAATTAAAACTTTTAAATTAATTAATTAATTCTATTAATTTCAAAAGTTATTCCACTATAAACTTGGAATTGCAGTCTCATAATTATAGATATCAATTACTTCTAAACTGTAAAATGTTAATTTAATATAGTTATTACATATAGATCAATCATTCTTAAATAATTTATAATTAGAGTTAGGTGAAATCCGTTAACTTCTCTAATTATATCTTTATCCTTGAGTAACATTGATTCTCTAATGAACAGTAATTCATAAAATAAATTCATGAATCGTAGCTCCTCCTAATCCAAGTACCGAATCAATTCTCAAGAGATTTATTTATCTACTTATTTCTCAAGAAGAAATGAATTTCATCTTGTACAATAACATTCTCGGTTACTCACTTCATCATGTCTCCAAAATACAAGGAATATGATTCAACATCTCAAAATCCGTATCGAATAAATCAAAATATATAAATCTATAAATAGGAGTTTGCTAATAATTCATGATTAAAATCGTTCTATATGTGACCATTGATAGACTCAATTAGAATTTCTATACTTAATGAAAATTATCATAAATTCATATTGTGTATGTGTCCATGTTCTACATAATCTTATTATGCGTAATATACTCATTTAATATCTCTTCATATTAACAGTGCGGATAACATTGTTCTATTCTAAATGAGAATGACATATATTAGTAATGTTTTAATTAAATATTCTAAACTTTAATTAAATTCATTACGAGCATCGTTTTAATTATTATACTTAAATATTATCCTCTCGCATATAATATTTAAGATCACATAAATAATCATAAAATTTTAAGTGATATTTATAAAATATTTAATAATATATGCATATAAAATAATTAATAAATTTTGTTATTAAATAAATAATAAATATTTAATTATATCTCATATTTTTAGGACATTATTAAAATGGTGGAAATTAATCAATTTTATTTGAATAAAAGGTCTCAAACAATAAGTGAAAATTAATTAATTTAAGTTTCGTTCATTTTATCGATTTAACTTTTTAATTTTATATTTTTATAATTAAAATTTCTTAAAAATATTACATTTAATTTTTATTATTATAATTAAAACTTTAAAAAATATTATATTTTAATTTAAATTAAAAACCCAAATGAATAAAGCTCTACTTTTGTTTTGTTTTCAGGCTCACAATTAACTGTTAACATATTTGGATCCTTCTAGGCTTCTAGTAAAATAATAAATATCTTAATCTATATTGGTAATCAGTGGAAGAGGAATCAATTCATCTGTACCACCACGTCATTAGCCTGACTTTATATATTTCGTGAAATGTTGTCCAAATCTGCCATTATTGGCATGATCTACTTGTTAAATCAAAAGATTTTTCGCAAATAAAAAATTAACCATGTGATACACTATCCGCGGAATAATCTAGAGTAGTGCGCACTTCTCGGGCACCGTGTTCATAGCTACTGGCTTCAATTTTTTTCACTGGATTAGAGGTGTTAAATAGGTCGGGCTGTCCATGAATGGTTCAGCTCAGTCCGTAATAGTGCTTGATTCGGCACGGCTCGGTCCGTTACTATTACGGATCGTGCCGGCACGGCACGTGTAATGGATTAGGGTTGGGCCTCAACTTCTCAGCCCACGGCCCAAGCACGTGGAGGCCCGCGACACGGCCCTTATTCGGCCCGGCCCAAGCCCTGATTCGGCACGGCCCAAGCCCGCGAAACGGCCCACGAAGAAGCCCATTTCATTTGGTCCAGTGGGCCCTTCGCGGGCTAAACGTTCGGCACGTGACGGGCCTCCCGTTTGACCCGTCACATGCCTCCAGTTTGGCACGTGATGGGCCAAATGGGAGGCCCGTCACGTGCCGCACGTTGGGCCCGCGAAGGGCCCAATGGAAAAAACTGAATTTTAACCCTAAAATCCCCTATAAATATCCCTTAATTCCACCATAAATTCCACACAATAATTCACTCTCATTTTCTCATCTCACTCTCATTCTATCTCTCAACTTGTCTCTTTGATTTTGATTCTAAGTTTTTTTCTCGCGTTCATTCATTTTCTAGCTCTTTCATTTACAAAGTTCAATCAAGTTCTATCAATTTCCAGAAAATGGCCTCACCAAACTTCCCTAATTTCACTGCTCTTCCTGAGCTTGGTGAGGAGACATTTTTTGAGGAAGAAATGATGCCTTCCAACCCCACCCCCACTGAACCAGAAAATGCTCCGGTGGATAATGCTTCAGTATACAACGAGGAAGCTGGAGAACGCAGTAAAGGAAAAAGACCGCGAACTTCTCTGGCATGGCAGCATTTCACTAAGGAGCCCCGACCAAATCCAAAAACAGGTGAGATGGAAATTCGTGCGATATGTAAATATTGTAAAAAGCACTTTTCTAATAAAAAGGGTGGGGGTACTGGTCATCTGGATAGACATTGGAAAGTATGTCTACCGTTGCACCAAGGTGGGAGTGTGGACTCCCGCCAACAAACACTATCACTCACATCACATGGGTTACAAAATTTTACATACGATGCACAACGTGCTCGTGAGGCACTAGCTAAATTTCTAGCTAGTGCCGAATTGCCTCTTTTTTTTGCAGATGATGCCTCCTTCGAAGAATTCATCCAGACAGCCTTTTGCCCACAATTTAATCGGGTAAGTAGAAACACAACTCGTTCTGATTGCATGAAAGTTTTTTATGCAATGAGACAATCTCTTGTTGATAATTTTAGGACTTTTAATGCTATTGTGTCTTGCACTTCTGATATGTGGGAGGGGTGTAATAAAACTGGATATTTATGTGTCACAGTACACTACGTTGATGACGATTGAGTTTTACAAAAAAGAATAATTGGTTTTCATTTATGTCCATATCCTCATAACACAACATCTATTTTTAGTACAATAATTGAAATTTTTGAGTTTTATGGGATAGAAGATAAAGTTTTAACAATTACTTTTGATAATGCATCAGCTAATACAACTACAATTAATCTGTTTAAACGTAGTTTGAAACCAACATTTGGAGGGGAAATTTTTCATCAACGGTGTGCATGTCACATAATTAATTTAGTAGTTCAGGCATGAATTGAACATATCTTAACTAATCTTACAAATATTAGAGAATCATTATCCTTCATATCTAGTTTTGGAGCTCGGCTCCAAGAATTCAAACAATATTGCAGGAACAGCCAGATGCGCCCAAGAAAGTTTCCAACTGACATGAGACATAGGTGGATTTCAACATATTTAATGTTGAAGGTAGCACTCCCGTATTCACAGCTTATCACGACATATGTAAACAGTAAGAACGATCAAATTTTAATTTTTGATCCTGATTGACAGATTGCTGAGTATTTTTTTAAATGTTTAGATGTTTTTTACAATGCTACTGA